TTTATGTCTCAAGAGAAATGGTTGGTTTCAGGCCAAGACTGAGTGTTTCAAGAAGGTGAGCAATGCCTTGTTCATGATGGAAGGCAATTAAACAGTTTGGTAAGGATCTTTCTGGCCTTGGAGAGAAAAGCGAGTTAAGTGTGGATCACCTGCTTTTAACTGGGTTGGAGTCCAGGTGTCTGGGGAAGTGCCTCCTGCTCATGGAATGGCAATGGCTGCAACTACTGAACTAAAGAGCAGTAGAGACTTTACAGCCCCAGAAACCAGCTTTGATTTTCTTCATCGAATGGTTTACCTTGTTATCATGCTTGATCAAGTGATACCCTTGAATTGTGTGTCAAGCTATACTCCTAGTCCCTAACGGGGGGTACTTTTTTTCCTTGAAGATGTCTGTCACTGTGTTATAACCTAAAAAGGAATTTAAAAAGGATTGACATTGCTCACTGAAGCCCATGTTAGTGAGTAATCTTGGGACTTAGAGGGCTGTAGGTCTTGTGTGGTGGTCAATTCCAAGAGATCCATCTACCTAAATCAGAGAGTTCCCCAAACTGAAGTAGACGACTCTGGGTCAGTTACAGCCTTCTTTCTCAAGTTCAACCCAACCCACCCTCTCAGTAACTGCTCAGTTTCCTTCCATGCCTTCAAAGAACATGTCTTCCTCATCCAAAGTGAAACATCTTGGGTCGCTCTTACAGAGGTCCCTCTATCAGCTTCAATTCCCCTAACACGGAGAGCTCGTTGCTATGAATTTCCAACTCCTCGTCACTGATTTGTCTCTGTCTTTCTTAAGAAGCAGTACTGAGTTGCTACCTTCTCCAGGCCCCTTTCTGCATCTCAGAGTCCAATGAGCCAATCAAAGGTGTGGAAGAAAATGACCTCAGAAGAAACCTCCTGGAATCACGTGCACCCACGGATTGGCTTGAGGACGGAGACAGCAGAGAGCACAGCCCTCTGTGAGGTGCAGATGATTGACAGGGAGAAAGATGTTTTGGTTGATAATACAATCTGCTCGCCTCCTGTAGACACAGCAGTCGCCTACTAATTCGTTGGAAGTGAATTAAGGTTGTTTACTGATGTTTTAAAGTAACTGTCAGAGTAGGAAAAAAAAGTTCATACTAAATGAGACCACTCACCTACTTTGGAGTAGCTGTTTATTTTAAGCTGAGTGCATAAATAATATATTGAGATACTAAGGGTGATTTCAAGCATTAGAACACGAAGCCTCCTGTTTACTAACTGTCATTAGGCTGAAGAGAATTTAAACAGCTCTGAACCTTTTTGTCTGGGAATGCAAGGCATGAAATTAACTTTCATTTCATAGTTAGCAGGAATCATGATTACGGCAGTGCTGTTGATGTGTCTCCTGCCGATCTAGGCATTTTTTATTTGTTTTGCTGTGCAAGTCAAGCCTTGCCAATAGAATGCCTTCCATGCCTCCCTTAAAATAGGGCCTCCTCCCTTCCCCATGAAACATTCTTGGGGCTCCCTGGGCTACCAAATCAGTGTGCTATGGACACTAAGAGGAATAGTGGAAGTCTACTAGAGTGGGCTCCAGGGGTCCTAATCCCTACCGATAGTAACCTTTTCTGAGTTTCATTTTCATAATCTGTACAACAAGAATTCCACATTCATCTCTTGAATGGGAATCCAAGAGTGGGAACACCCCAATGAGGTCAGTGTTACGAGCTGACTTTGAGTGGTATTAGATGTCAGAGCTAGACAAAACAAGATAATAACACTTAAGTACTTTTAAGGCTTTTTAAGAAAAGATTTGTAGTTTGTACTTCTTGACTCATTTCATTCACCTAGTAACCCTGTGGCATAGGTACTTTTATTATTCCAATTTTATCACGACAGAAACCTAAGCAAAGGGAAACTAAGCAACTTCTGTATCTCAGAACTAAGAAGTTGCAGATGCCCCATAATTGGGGTCCAGGGTTTGTGTTCTTAACTATTACTTATTTGGGAGAGAGACCCAGGTGTTTTTTTTTTTATGTATGTTTAGGCCTCCAAGTCATGCATAAGTAAAAGAAACACGATTTCCAAAAGCCTGGACATAATGGAGTTTGAGAAACTGCAGGTGTGGCCTCTCCATTGGCAAGGAGGAGTTCCATTGGCTGGGGAATGTTACTGCTTGTATGGATTAATTATATTTTATATGTAAAAAGCCTGGTGATTTTTGGATGAAAAGCCCCCGCTAAGCAGACCTTATAGCATTACTCATAATGCTTTCAGAAAGAGGAAATTGATTCAATTTTTTGTTCCCTTAAATGTGAGAGTGGGGTAGCTTATTTCCGAGGATAGGGAAAGTATGAGAGAATGAATAGAAAATGTATGGAATGTTTAATTTTGTATGATTACATTTCATATTTGCTGAAGCAACTGATGCAAATAGAAATGCATATTAGGACCACGGGATACCTGTTTCAGATATTTTGATGGAGTGCTCTGGGTTTTATACTCAGATACATGAACCCTCTGGGATCCATCCTTATTAAGCAATTGAATAGGAAGGTATTTGTGTTCGCATCATTGAAAATATGTAATTTGTACAACTGCTTTTTAAATTTATATTTACACTCTATTTATTTGAATTTCCAAAGAAAAAAGGAACCTGCAGTGATTAATGGGGACAAAAATGATGGGAATTTGCTGACATTTTCCCCCTAAGTATGCTTAGTCTGTGATGGGTCATGCTTAAAATTGTAGTGGCAAGAGTAGGATATCTGACTTACTTTGGATTTCTGAATGAAACAGTTCAAAAATAGAATCATTTCCATAATCCAAGAAAAATGGACAGACTCATGAGAAGTAATCAGCTGAGGCAAAGAGTCAAGTCGGCACTTCCTAACTGCAAGAATTTCAGCAATTGCTACTCTGCACCAGCACTTGTTAATACAATGGGGTAATTGCATAATTAAATACACTATGGAATTTCAATAATTGGAAACTTTGTTTTCTCGTCACAATATGCAACTTGCTGATGCTGAAAAGCGTCCACAGTTTTTGGAGGAGGCCAGAATCATCTTTCTCTTCATGTCCCCTGCAGTTCTGTGGCTCCTCTTCCAGCTCCGAGACACATACTTCCCTGGCAGGTTATTTTTAGTTGGTTGTATTTAGACAAGGTGAAATTAAGCAGGAAATCCCCCAATGTGACTTGCCTTCCCAGGCTATAGGAGCCAAGAATCATTTTGCTATGTGTCTCTGGTGCTATGTAGATGTTTCTATGTAGGCATGCATGGAAAATGGGCTTAGAGATGAGTATAGTTTGTTCCTGGGAGTACCTCTTGTTGTGAAATAGCGTGGTGGCATCTCTGAGAAGGTGTGTCTAGAGTTAGGCTTCTTGGGTTCAATCTCATGTCTGAACTATTATGAGAAAAGAGCTTAGAAAATGCTGAGTAGATTATAAGTATCCTATAGGTGTTAGCTCATATTAGGCAATATCAGAGGATGTTTCCTGTTCATCTGAACTGTGGCAAGTCTTGGAGTAAGAACAAATACCTAGACCCAAGAAATTTCATCCACTAACTACAGAAACATTTATTGAAGATTGCATATATCACTATTCTGGGTGTTAACAAAACAAGGATGAATAATACCCATTCATTGGACTGGAATAGCTCAACCACATTATGAAAATAGACATGCAAATAGACGATGATGATGATGACGATGATGATAATGGTGATGATAATGATGATGATGATGATAAAAATAATGTATCAAAACAGTATCTGGCATACTGTGAGATAGTTTGGCAGGGACTGGTCTGTCATCAGTGTCCCCTGTATTTAACACATATACAAATAAATGAATGGAAGAATTTGGCATCAGATTATTTTGAGAGTTGGACAGTTTACTAGCATAGAGTGACCTGTTACTTAGCACAGGGTGTTAATTAGTTTATAATGGACTCAATGCATTCTTTGAGATGAAATGAATAAATGAATGCATAGATTAAAATTGGCTCTAAAGAGTCTTGGGCAGTTTGAGGATGTGAGTGGATTTGGTATTTTTAGGTAGTAGGGTTGTCTGTATGCAAGTGGGGTACACAAGGGGCAACATTTAAAGAGACCCTCCCTGTCAGGGTCGTGCAAGAGCATCCTCACCTCTGGTACCCGAAATGTTCACTTTTCTCACTCTGGTCCACACCCAGGTGAATGTATTTATCTTCTGTGCACGACTAGGCCTTACTTATACATGTGTTTGGGCTTTCTCCCCAAAATTGTATTTGAAAATATTTCAAACCTAAAACAGAATTGAAAGAATACAACAAGGAACACTGTGAATCCTTTACCTGTATTTATCAGTTGCTGGCCTTTTGCCACATTTGCTATTTTCCCTTCTGCATACATGACTTTGAGCTTCATCCCAGTTTTTACTCAAAACCATGCCATGCTTCCCACTCAGCATTTTTACTTGCTTTCTTATAATGTCAAGTTTACTGCCTAAATTCAGACTCTTAAATTTTTTAAAGAAAAATCCAAAAAAGACCATTAGAAGAAATTTACTTATGGTTTTGTTTTAAATTATGAACTACAGTTGAACCTCATTATTCAGACTATTAATATACAACATATTTAGGCTATTCCCAAAATAAGATGCCTAGAATTTTAAAGGTTAGAAAGTGTTTCTGGACTCTCTCATATTCTTTCACAGGGGACTTATTTTAAAGATAAGTTCCCTATGGCTGTTATTATTCTAAGAGCCATTAAAAACAGTTGGCAGTCCAGTTCCTAATACAATAAAATCAGCATTTCACATCTTAAGAACAATTCATTGTTAGAGTGACTTTGCAATACAATACAGAAGCTGTAAGTATGAAATGTCCTTTAATAGAAAGGATTACAGATGTGAAGGATGCTGACATTTCTAAAACCATTTCTAATCATCTTGATTGTATATAAAAAGCAAGGTATAGGTACTATGAAGACATAACATGAATGGACATTTAGTCAGGTAGTAAAGATGCCAGTTATGATGCCCCTTAATCTCATGTTGGAGTACCTGGGTCTCAATACTCTGCTCTGGTTCCTGACTCCAGCTTCCTGCTGATGCAGAGTCTGAGAGGCAGAGGTGATGATGCCACAGGTAGTTGGGTCCCTTCCATCCAGTTGGATGACCTGGATCGAGTTCTTGGCTGCTGGTTGTTGCGGTGATTTGGGGAGCTCTATTTCTCTCTCTGTCTTTATATCTTTCAAAAAAAAAGTAAGTTAAAATGTTAAAGAACATCAAAAGTATCCAGCAGATTACATTATCTCTGTGGTTTTGGAAATGCCATCTGAAGAGCCCTAAGGAATCTAGAGAGAGACCTCCTATGTGATGGTGATGGAGGAAGGTAGGAAGACTGGCATTGGAGAGCCAGATCATTCTCTCATGTCTCGTCATATAGCTCTGGGATTGTGTGCTTTCTCTCAGGCTTCTTAAGAACTAGTCTTTAAGAAATGTTCTGTAGGCGAAAACAAGTACATTGGAAATCCCAGTGTTAGTGAGTAGATGTAGGAGAAATTCATCCAGTACTGTTGCTGGTGGTCAGAAGCCATAGTGAGAGGTTGCAGGCATAACCAAGTAGACATGTCTGTGTCTGGAAAGTTCTTTGGATCAATTGCCTGAACACATCCGAGACAGTGATTTTTGTTTACTTATTTTTATGCTTTAAATTTTTTATTGGAAATTCAGATTTACACAGAGAATGAGAGACACAGAGAAAGATTTTTTGTCCACTGGTTCATTCCCCAAGTCGCTGCAAGGGCTGGATATGAGTCAATCCAAATCAGGAGCCAGGAGCTTCTCCCAGATCTCCCACATGGTTGTAGGGTCCCAAGGCTTTGGAACGTGCACTACTGCTTTCCTAGGCCACAAGCAGAGAGCTGGATGGGGAGTGGAGCAGCTGGGATTAGAACCGGCTCCCATATGAAATCCCAGCACATGCAAGGTGAGGACTTTAGCCACCAGGCTACTGTGCTGGGCCAGGAGATCATGATTTTTAAACAGCAGTGATCCTGATGCTAACCTAGAGACCCTGACTCTGCAGATCTTTGGAGTGGCTGAGGAGTGTGACTTTCTGAGTTAGCTTGAACAACACAGAGAGAAATGAACCATATTTCCATTGTATGGCATTATAGGACTTGGTGTTGAAAGACATGACCAGAGATGTAAAGAACGTGTCAGTTTAATGTAGCCCTTTCTCAAATTCAGGGAAAATTTAGAATGATTTTATTTTAAAAATGTCTGCAATAGAAAGCATCATCCTAATAAGAATAAAAGACAAACAAATTAGTCTTTGGATGATGTGGAGTATACAAATGGGAGAGGAACATGCAATGGAAAAGAAAGGCGAGCTCGCCTATAGCTAGATGCTTTGATTGGCTCTTGATGATGGTGCCTCCCAGCTTAGTGGGATATGTGCAGGCTGAGAGTCTAGACAGGCCTTGGTTTGAATTCTGACTCTCCTGGTGGTAGGCCTTTAGGAAAATTACCCAATCTCAATGCCTGATACCTCTTTACAGAGTCTGATGGCAGATGAAATTAGGTGATGTCTGGATAGGGCTTGCAATGGGGTGGTCGTGAAGTGGCTATCTTTACTGGTATTTAGGATAGACTTTAAGATGAGTTATACTCTTAAGAGGGCAGGAGGGAGAACATGTTGTTCATTGGTTTTGTTTTCAGTGTTGGTTGGACAAGTGATTGAGGTACAAAAAAAGGGAAAGGATTTAAACACACGTAGCATTTCTGCTCTTAAGCACTGTGCCTTCAGATAAGTGCTGTTTGAAACAAAAATAAATCCTTTAACTTTCATGTAGGAAACCAGCAAGTTCACATTGAGGTAGGAGAGCAGGGAGACCATGTAGCTTGCTAAATTCACTCCCATTTCCTACATTCCATTGGGAAGTAATAGAAATTTCCCACTGGCCTTGGAAGTCAGTTCAATAAGCAGACTGAAACCTGGGCTCTCTCGGATTTAAGTTTCTCTTTCTTTCTCATCCACTTTTCTTTCTCTGCTGTCTTCTTCTTTTACCTCTTCTCCGCTCTTCCTTTTCATTGTGCAGATAGATTTCAAAGAAGACAGGAATGCAAATGCTTAAGGCAATTCAATGGGAAAAAGTGTTTAACACTCCAGATGGCATTTTAATTTACCTTCAGTTTTCCATGTCACCTGTGCATGCCCTGTATCCCTCTCTTTTGGATGTGGCCAGAAAAGTCTAAAAGCCCAGTTAATCCTAAACCAATCCATGCTTAGGCTTTTATATTTGCGGCAGATTTACCTTCCTAACAACTTGTTTGAGACTAATATTAGAATGGGTTTGCATTTCCTGAGCAAATGAATACAGGTGTTAGTTCATAAATTGAAGGAAACAAGAGTGCCACCAGCTACCCCTGGATAAGGGATGATGGGACAATACCATAGGCTTGCAGTGAGAGGCGACTCCCCTTCAGATTTTAGGCTGTCAGTGTCATGTCTGTGTGACACTGGGTTCTCATGTCTGGAGACAAAAGATTTCTGTGTTCAGTTCTGCTTATTTCCACTGTCTCATCCAGAGAATGGACACTATATCCTCTTAGTTGTTGTAGGGTATGTATTGAATAAATAAGCCTTTCTGCCCATTGATTTAAGAATCCAATACTTCACTATTTGTTGATCCAGATTATATTTTAAACAATATTCCTTGAGCAGTTATAATGAGAGTCCAATTGAGCTGGGGACTTCCATATTGTCCAAGTCTTTTAGTAGCCCTTTTCTCTGGTTGTCAATGGAGAGTGAGGTTCAGGGAGGTGACCAGATTGAACTTGGTCAGGTCCAGGCATCTTGATGTTGTGACTCAATGGACTATGTTCTGTATGCTGCTCCTCCCTGCCTTACAAACACTGGGAGGATTTCTCCCTGGGGATTTTACACAGCCAATTCCCCAGGATCTTACCAAATCAACCTACCGGGAGAAGGGAAGATCTCTCTCTCTGTGATTGTTATCAGATAATTCTATCCTGGTGGCATGAGACCTTGAGTGTTGTCAAATGCCCACAGGGAGTTCAGGGATGGGAGTTTCCAGAAGGGATTGCCTGTGAAAGAACCATAGAGAAGGCCTGTGTATACGTGCTATGAACACTGTTTCACAGATTAAAATAGTTGTCACAGGGACTAGGAAATTGAATCGGTTAAACCTTCTGGTTTTAGATTGTTTCTGGAGAGTGAGTAACTCTATGATTTTTACTTGTCACAGGCTAGAAGGGAAAAAAAGTCAGAGTGAAACTTCATAGCTATTTTTCTTCCCTGTGTGTTCATGGTAGTTATTTATATCTGGGAAGTTTCCATTGGGATTTAGTTCAGGATATAGACTTGGCAGGGTGGCTTCTGCACTCCGTGGTGACATTTGACAGACTGCAGGCAAAGCAGGACAGATTTCTGATATCTAGATGGATGGATTTGGGGGCACAGTGTTGGAATTGGACTGTATTATGAAATGGATTTATCGATCTGAATCTAAAAGCAGCCCGTTGCTTGTCAATAAGAGATTTGTATCAATAACACTTGATAAATTAGGGTTTCTGACCCCTTGCTTTGTTTGTTTTTATCAACTCCACCTGGCAATAACAATGCAAGACTGCAGGTGGTGCATTGGGAACAGCTTATTGCACTGTCAAGTGTGTAACTGACCTTAGGGTTGAGCTGTATGATCCCATGCGTGTTGCCACCACCCTGAAGTGCGCTGTTGTGCCTGACTTCCTCCCCAGAATTAGAGATTACTCCTGCTAAGTTGTGTTTCCATCTCAGCCTCGTGCATTAACCTTGAAGCATTGTACCCATGATGTAGGTAACGTCTTCATTTTCCAGATGAAGAAATTAAGACACTGTGAGGTTAAATGAGCTGCCCTAGGCCACATAGTAAATTCCAATGCAGCTGGGTTGCAGGGAGAGGTGTCATGGTTGCTGGGAGAAGATATGGCACTTTCCTTCTCTCTGGTCACAGAGAAGGGACTGAATCCGCAGATTTGCTGACAATCTGCTTTCTCCGTAGGTGTCGTGAGGCTGTCATCTTATCTCCAAGGCTTTTGGGAGGAAGAGCTCCATGTTCCTCTTTAGGAGATAGAGGGGTACCTGGTATTTTGGCAGAGGATGTATTTGATTTGGTTTCTGTAGTCATGGCCCAAGGGTGAGGACTTTCTCCATCCCCCTGGATGTTGACCTTCCTGGGATGGTTCTTACCACGCCACAGGTATCTTATAATGGACAGCTAGCTATCTGGGTACCAGACAGATGGGAGGTGATTTGGTAGTCGGTGGAAGCAGAGGCACACTTCTTCCCTGTAAAGTGGATGGGAATGGTTGCATGCCAGTTGGTAACCCTTCCTTTGTGAGCTTGTAGAAATGTATCTTTGGGTCCTGTGGCTCTATGTATAAGATGACAGCCACACACACAATAAGAACAAATGATTGCCATGTACTAAGCTAACACGCTGCATATACTTACTCAGCTAACATCATCAAAGATGTGGAATAAGGCTAACGTTGAGATCTGGGGCACCCTGTCTGTGTGTGCCTGTGTTCTGATAGCAGTGTGGCACTTGGCAGTGTTTTCTGGAATTTTAGTTTAATGCCTCTGTACTCTGTCATCATGAAGATGAAATAGAAAATCAAAAGAACAGTTATGTGGTGAAGCACAGCAGCACCTTGATGAGTTAGAATGCTTGGGAGGTAGATGGAGCTTTATCAGGTGATCCAGCGCAACTTTTGGTTGAAAATTCACGCTGAAGTGTGTTGTAATAACAAGTGTGATTTTTTTTGGCTGCTTTAGTTTACATGAATTCTTGAGTAGAACTCATTTTATTTTCATTGAGGCTCTTAAGGTTATCATTCTGAAACCTAGAATTTATTTTTGTAAGTTAAGGGTCAGAGGACATTAGTCAATGTCATGCTTGTTAACTTGAAATACTTTTGGGCAGAGTGACAGAGGAGGAGAGAAAGAGAGAGATGGATGAAGAGAGAGAAAGATAGAGAGAGAGATGGAGAGAGGGAGGGACGGAGGGAGTGAAGGAGGAAGGGAGAGAGAGCGCGAGAGAGAAATATAAAATTCTCCAACTGGCTAGTTTACTCCCCCAAAGCTTGTGTACAATAGAAAACAAGTGTGAGTGACCCAGGCCTAAGTCAGGAGCCAGTAACTCCATCAGGGTCTCCCACATGGATGATATGGGATGCAGGTATAACAATGTATTAATGCACTGAGCTACAATGCCAGCTTCTGGCTTGAAATTGTTTACCTTAGTTGTGTTTCAAATGCAGGGGATTTGAGAGCATATTTCCCACAGCCTCACTCATATTCTTCATTGTATCCTTTGTCCTGGGGAAGAATGTCTTGCTTCTACTTTTCTACCTCTGCTGTGGTTTTAATGTGTTGCCCAAATTTCATGTGTTGACTGTTGAATTTCATAGTCCTATATTAATGTTAATGGTATTTGGAGGTGGGACATGTGAGAGGAAATTGAGTCATAGGGGTTAAGGTTAAGGGGTTGTGGGGGGAGAAGCTTTGTGAGACAAGCGAGTGTTTTCTGGTATGTCTGTCGGGGCTTACCCCATGATGGCTTGTGTCACTCTGGAGCTCAGCAGAGGGTCTCTGTTGACTGGAAGGATCTCACCAAATGTGGCCTTGTCAGCTTGGACTTTCCAGCTATCAGACAACTGTAAGACATACATTTCATTTCCTTATAAATTACCTGATGTGTGTTGTTCGATTCTAACAAAAAAGAGATTATGACAACCCCTGATCCATATACTCTCAGGTTCAAAAAGGAAAACCATTTTCACCCACAAATGTTGTTAGACGTGCTCATGCCTTTGGAGGTTTGGGTCTGATGGTTGGGAGTGGCCCCTGGGAATCTTCATGGCTAATAAACAGCTTTCTTCTCTCCTCGCCTGCACCCCTTGAAGCATATTAGAATCTTTGTATCTAACAAGTAGGTGCTGTGGGGATCCATGTTTTGAAAAATGGCATCAGAGATAGAAGAGTTGGCTCCTGAGCCTAGGAGGAGCCTTCACAGGAAGACAACTGCCTGGGCGACTTGTTGGAAACCTCTCTCCAGCGCCTGACATGTTAAATAATCTTGCAAGGAATTCAGACTGTGTATCATGTCTCAAATTCAAATTTACAAACATTTGTCACAGACTTTCCCTTGGGACCCCAAGAACTGAATAAAAAATTTTGTGACACAGATGACAAGCAACTGCCTTATTATCAGAGATGCTGGTGCTTTGTAACAGAAGGGGGAGTGTATTTCATGTGGAGAATGTTATTTAATTGATATTATGTGATGATAGGAAATCTATGAGTAAAAAAGCAGCAACAGCAGCAAATTATCACATTAGAATTATCCATTCAGCCAGTTTTATGCCATATGAACAAGTAAGCACTCTTCAAAATATTTAGTTATTCTGTCAGAAAAATTATTCATAGATGCTTCTATTACCATTTCCTTTCTTTCTCTGAAATTTTGAGATGTGTATACACAAACATATGCACACAGAGGAGAGATAAAGACAAGGAGGGAGGGAAGAGAGAGAGAGGGAGAGAGACAGAGCGAGAGAGCTCTCACTTCCCCAATGCCTACCACTGCTAGGGCTGGACTGGGCTGTAGCCAGGAGCTGCAAAATGCGGTTCAAGTCTCTCCCCAGAGTGCCAAGCAGGCATTGTGTCAGGGACCGTACCACTTCAGTCAACACCATGGCCTCCCATGATTCTCAGTAAGCTGGAGTCCCATGCAGGGGCAGAGTAGGAAACCCCGAGACTGCTGTGCGATGTCAATGTCTTGATGTCTAGGTTAAGTGCCCACCCCCTCATCACTTCCACAGCAGCAATTTGAGTGTGTGTGTGTATATACATCCACATACATTGCTTATCAGCAAATAAATCATAAACTAATAAAACAACAAATTAACAATAATTTAAGCACAATTCAAGTTGAAGTATCTGGATAGGATTATGATTCCTCAATTATACGTAAAAATCAGAGGCAAAGAGATATTTTTCTTTTCATACACTCAGTTTTGCATCCTGCCATTGTGTAGCAGCTGTTCGCTGAGCTGCAAGCTGGGTCATGAGTTGGGCCAAATCTTTTCTGAGGGAATGGTCTATGTGAGTCGGCAAATTGTTAAGCTGTGTGTGGTCCTTGTACCAGCAAATGAGTAAATCAGGATTGTAAGTTGCAAATGTGCCTCAGATTAACTTGTGTATAGTAAGGAATGAGCTTGGCATAATTTAACGTCCCATGACACAGTGACAGGCTTCTCTCCCGGCAGCTGAATTAAGGAGATGATGGAAAATGAAGGCATGGTGGGCACTGGAGCTTCCACAGGATATGAACTCTGTGTACTGTGCTCGAAATGTCACATTCCGAGAGGTCCTGGAGTGGCCGGGCTTAGTGTCATATCGCACTGTGGGTTCTGTTCACATGATGCAAGCCTTTGCTTATCTGACCAGGCCTAAAATAAGACTCTCCAATGCTTTATTTATGAGCTCTGGGCCACCCAGGCCCGTGATGTAAGTAACCTTGGGGTACACAGCATTTGATCACTTCAATTCCCATTAACTACCTGTTTCTAAATGGGGAAAAGCATTTACCCAGCACATTGCGTTATTCATGAAGACACAGCAGCAGCAGCCTGTTGTGCTGTCCCTGGGCTGATTTCCTGGAATACGATCCAGCTGTTGAAGGCTGCAGATTGCCGCTTGTAATGTTTGTTTTCTCCTTCTTGCTCTTTTGCTTTCTTTGCCTTGCCTTGGCCCTTTCCTCTCTCTTTCCCTTTTCTCTTTCTCTTTTTTCCCCCCTTTGCTTTCATTTTGTCTGCTGCTTCTTTTTAATGTTTTGCATCCTTAAAAAGAACTTGGGCCAATGCGGACTGCTCAGCATGGAGCTGTATATCAAGACTTTAGGAGCTTCCCCTCTTCAGCACAGGTCACATGTTGGCAGCAGAGAACCTGTTTTGCATAATGATGGGGACTTGTAGTGCAGAGTTTCTCAACTTTAGCACTATTAATGCTTTGGACCTGACAATCTTTTGTTGTGTAGGTTCTCCTGTAGATTATAGGATGTTCTGGATGTGGCTGGCCTCCGCTCACTAGATATCAGTCACCTGGCCATTTGTAACAACTAAAATGCCTCTAGACATTCTCAGATGACCCACTTGGAGCAAGGTTGTTCCTGGCTAACTTACAGTGACAGCTTTGTTAGTGGGAAGTTTCATTCACTTTTAGAAACTATGCAGGTATGATGATCAGATCTGGATTTGGAGCTGGAAGAATCTATATTTGAATCCTGGTTCCGATGCTTATTGATTATGAGACTTTGGGAAAGATATTTAGCTTATCTGAGAGTGAACTTCCATACTTGTTAAGCAGGGATAACAATGGATAAACTTCTAAAGTGCGTGAAAACCAGTGAGCCAATATGCGGTGAGCATGTGATATGTGATAACACACTCAGTATTGCGTGATCTGATTGTATTTCCTGATATATGAAATATAGCTAGCACCTTTTAGACATTCAGAGAAATACAAAGAGTCCTGTGCTTCCTTGTCAGCCTGTTCTGTGTAAATCTGATTTTGTTCTTCCTCTTTCTCCTTGTATTCCCATCCTGGTCATTTTTATATTCCACCAATGGATTATTTATGACTAAAGACAAATGCACTGGGAGAATGGAAAGAGAAATGGCAAGAGATCCGAGAGGAATTTCCTGGTAGGATCTTTCTATTAGAGAGCTTCAAGAACAGATATGGAAACTTATTTTCTTGAGTGTGGGAATGTGGAAAGATTATAAAAAACAAAGACCCTCTTAGCATCTCATGAATTTGAACCTTATCCTGCACTGACAAATGCCAAACCCACTTTGTGTCTTTTGCTTTGGGAGAAAAGTGACATTGCTTTCCTTATTCAGGAATGAGGGTGACAAAATGTTAAATCTGTTTTCTTGGGAAACAGCTGAGAAAACAGCCAAAATGATTCCATGTGACTAGCACAATTTTCTGCTTGGCTCTTCAAAGTCTGAGTCCCTTTTGAGCTATATCTAAATCTAGAAATAAGGCCCAGGAGAAGCAATAGATATTAGACAGCCGCTTAATACTACAGTCTCTGGCATCTCTTTTACCACTGCCCCTGTATTTCACAGGGCCTCGTAAGTCTGCTACATACCAGCAATTTAGAACATCTTGGAAAAACCAAACCAAACCAAACCAAACCAAACCAAACCAAACCAAACCATCCTTACTCTTGCTATTTGTTCCAAAACTGTACTTTCTGAGTATTGGAATTTAACCAATTTCTGCAACTTTCCTTTCTCCATATTCTTCCTTTTTCGTCTGCCAGTTTCATCACAGAGCCCAAGATTAGGAATGGATATAGGAGATCATCAAGTTCATTAGTTGAGTTGCTTCCAGACGATTTGTGAGGTTTTAGATTGTCCTTCCATTGACTGATTTCAGGGATGGGGCTCACTGCTTCTCAATGCAGGATAGTCAGCTGTTAAACAATGGGTTCTAACCATCAGAGGCATAGCATCTGCATCTCTGGGTTTACATTCACTGATCCTTCAATAAATGCCTATTTGAGGATCTAATGTATGCCATTTTCCAAATATGAAAAAGAATATAAATTCTATTTTCAAAGAACAGATAATCATGACGATGTACTAAATGAGAGTAAGTAATTTAGAACACATTAAAAAAAGATTTATTTAGTTGAAAGTCAGAGTTACACACACACACACACACACACACGTTGGGATATCTTCATTTGCTGGCTTACTTCCCAGATGACTACAGTGGCCCAGGCTGACCCAGTCCAAAGCCAGAAGCCAGGACACTTTCCAGGCCCCCTACATGGGTGGCAGGGACTCATGCACTTGAATCATCTTCTGCTGTTTTTTTCAGGTCATTTTCAGGGAGCTGAATTCGTTTGGAAGAGTTGGGACATAGACTGGGGTCCAAAAGAAATTCTGACATCACAGGTGGTGGCATTATCTACTATGCCACAAGACTGGTCCTTAGCTAACATTTCTGAGTGGTTCTTATGAAGATTCCTCGCTAGTGGCTGAGGCTTTACTGAGGTAAGATCACTACACCTCTCCTGTGAAGGCTACAGTGCAGTGAAACAAAGACATTTGTCAGGAATTCCCTTATATTAGTATATAATAGGTAAAATTGCAATCAGAAAGAGGGGGCATTCTTCTATATATATCTATGGGAATTGGCCCAGACTGGGTGGAAAAGTAGCTATTAGGAAAGATTTTGTTGTCAAACAGACCATTTTTTTCTGAGTTCTGAAGAATTAACGGACATTGGCACAATGTAGAGGTTGGAAGAAGTGGCCTGGCATCTTAATCATGGGTGTGATAGGTGCTGTTATGGGACAATGATCTGGAATGATGGAGATAGCACTGGATCTGTAGAGTGGACAGGTGAATGGGGGATGGGATGCAACAGGACCTGAGGGGCTGTAGATGTTGGTCTATATTTTAATTGAAGCCTTTTGAAAGGATTTGAAGAGCTGTTTAGGGGTAAAATCGACAGACCTAGTCCTGATGAGACATGGGTCAGTTGAGATCAATGGAAAGAGATAAATGCTATAGGGAATTTGGGTTCAGTTGAAAATGTCATGGCAGGTTTTACGGATATGCATTGAGCATCTTTCTTCCTAGTTGCAATGAGCAAGGTAGAGAAGATTGCTCCTGCCAGGGAAACTGCAGCTACAGAGAGAGGCAAGTCTGAAGACTCACAGGAATTTTCTAGAACCTA